TCTTCTCATCAGTCCTTTCCCTGTCTAACTGCAGAGGCAGAGAGAACCCCATTATGTACTGATCTTGGCTATTTTTGTCGTCTTTGGCCCACATTCAAAGTGAGGAGAGGAGGACTGTGCTTAATATAAAATATACATTGCAGTTCCTTTAACCTCTTGTTTGCAGAACAACTATTCCTTCAAAATCTCACGTGGGATACTCCGTGTTCATGTCCATAAAGAACAGTGCATTACTGCAGAACTTAATGAGATGCTAACCACACGAATGAAGACAAGGCAAGAGGAGCTGGAGTTTGAGGCCAGCCTGGGCTACATAATAAGTTCAAGGCCAGACTGGGCTATATAGTTATACTCTCATAAAATTAAAAAAACCCACAGAGATTAAAGCATGATGTTATCATAGTTTTTGTTTCATTTTCAAAAGTATGTAATTTGGTGAATATAAAACAATACAGGTACTCAGAAGGATCTTGTATGAAGATTTCCTGCTGTCATGAGAATTGGTTTCAAAATAACAGGTCCACTATGTTACACTGTGTGCTCAGTCAGTCATTCAGTCAACACTTCTTAAACATGTACTAGCTGCTAGCACTTTACCACATATGGCAAAGAGGGAAAGAACGCAAAGTAGGAAAACATGGCAACACGGTTAATAGCCAGCACAGGGGTCAATCACTGAACGTAATATTCCACTCTTGTTTCAAGAAACAAAATTCCTCTCAGATATGTATCAAATGGAAGAGTAGATGGCCCAGATCTGTGTGTGTCCTAGGAGGGAGAAGAAAGACCTTTTCAGCAGGGGTGTGGCCACTGCTGCCCTTCTGGTCACCAAGAGGCAGGACACTGTCTGCTGATCATGGGCTTATTATTTCTTCATCTGACAGGTCCTGAATCACCAACCTTATTATGTAAGGCACCTGCTATGGTGTTATTTGAATTATATCACCAATTCACACTTTGGGATTCATGCCTGCACGTGGCAACATTAAATCTATTAATACCTAACACCTTCCGTCAGCATGCAGAAAGCAAGTAGTACATGGAACTAAAATCAACCACTTACCTCCTTAGTGAATAAACCAGAGTCATATCATAAAATACATATTCACTATGATTTCTCTGTGCAGCGCTAAGGATTGAGTTTGGGTCTCGCACATGCTGAGCAGGTGCTCTACCACTCAACTATGCCCTAGCTTTATAACTGCTAATATGCTTTTCTTTAACTATTTCAGTTGCCTGCTTAGCCAGGTTTCTGTTATTCTGTCTACTCTTGATTTTTATGTTATACAAATTTTTGAATTAAGCAACTACCTAGACAAAACATTTCATAACTCAACTAGGAGGGAATAAAACATGAAGAAGATTTCATTGTATTCTGTGGTACATGAAAAACTCAAATATGCTTATGTAAACCCCACTGTGCTGGGAGCTGAGTGGGAGACCACAGGATCATCCAAGGCTCTCCGCCATGCTGTGATCTCTACTGCTAAGAGGAAGTCAGGATTAATTAAATGATGTAAATCCAGAAAAAATACTCCATCAGAGAAAATATGTCATAATAAAAGCAGAGGCTACCATGTGCTTACATGGACCAGGAACTTAAGTTTTCTACTACAGAAGAGAGGTTTAGAGATACTGAGCATTCAGGCCAATTAAGAAATGGTGCACATCACAAGCAGATGCCTGAGGGCAAAGGCTGAGTCCCATATTCTTCCCAGAGCCTTGGAAAGTAGGATGCAAGGACTGTGAAGAGTGGGGGCAGCTGGCTGCTTCTGTTTTGCTTTGGATATTTTTTGTTTTTGTTTTTTCTACATATGTTATTAGGGTAGAATAGTGCTCTTTAAATTTTTTAAAAATTCGCTTTATTTAACGTGTGTCTCTGGGTGCATCAGTACTATGGCATGCATGGGGAGTTAGTTCTCTCCTTCCTATGTAGGTCCCAGAGATAAAATCCTTCAGCCAGAGCCAAGGAACTATCTTTACCTACAGAGCCATCGCACCAGCTCAGAATAGAGTGATTCTTAAAAGAAGTTGATTAGTTATAATACACATAATTTTATGTTAATTAAAATAAAGGGTATATACATATTGAAACGTCACATGGCACCTAATATGTATGTACAAATTTATGTGTCAACTATAAATAAAATGAAAACTATGGGGTATGCTATCATAAATGCATACATGTCTAATGCTCAAATCAGAATAAACATGTCTGCTGCAACATTTATTTTATTTTATTTTACATTTTGGTAAAAACATCCAGAATTCCTTCCTCTATCTTTTTTAGAATTATGCTCAAATTTATATTAACATCTTACAATAGCTTTTACAGGATATGGTATATTTATTTCTAAAATGATAGCCTCCCTAAGATATAGTAGCCTTTCTACAATGTAAGTATCAGCAGAGGTGGGGGGGGGGAGAGGAGAGAAGAGAGAGGTGGGAGGGGAAATGGAGAGAAAATGTTACATAACAGCAGAATCCCTTTTTTTATTTTTCTCCTACAAAGCTCCAATCACAGGGTCCAGCTGCTCCAAATGGCTTCCGCCTTGGTGACCGATTTCACCAAAGGTAACCAGTGCTCTTGAATTCACCCCAAACTAAGAGCTGACAGCTGTGCACACCACCGGGCAGCATTACATAACAGGCAGCTCAAGAGGCAGGAGAGAAGAACACACTGGAAGGAGGCTTTGGTGAGGGGCTGAGGTTACTCGGAACACACTCCACTGAGAGAAAGGCACCGGCAGGTCACATGACTGACAATCATCATGGAAGCACTCCAGTTTTCCCACAGCAGACCCGACTGCACATGTGTACAAGAAGCAGTGCCCTTCTAAGCCAGCATCTGTGTGGGAGTGAACTCCTGCTGGGGGCTGGAATCCTTTCTGGGATATTCTCTGCAGCAGAGTATGACCCTTCTTTTTCTTTCTGTATTTCTTTTTTTTATAATGTTACTCCACAGGCACATTTTTAAAATAACAGAGTTATTTATAACAGGAAGAGTCAAATCCTAAGACTTCTGACCGTATTAGTTAGTGATTCTAAAAACTATGTGGAAATGCTTCCCTGTTTTACAGGAGGCCCTCCTTGACAAGCAAGCCTCAGCTGGGCCTCATCTTCTAGCTCCAGTGAAAGAAGTCTCCTATATTTTATGTGCTTAAAACAAAACAGAAAAAAAAACAAAACCAAAATAAACAAAAACAAGTATGCTGAGGCTAGGGGTGGTGCTCACAGTGCTTGCCCAGCAAGTGCAAAGTTCTAGTTCAGTCTCGAGTTGGGGGTGGTGGTGGTCACACTTGAACACACAGCATGCACAGGACTTACTTCTTATAAAGCTATGTAAAAAGATAGATCTACTGGAGAGGGGAAAGTATTTGCATGCTTGTTCATGCAAATTTTTCAATAGACCTGATTACTTCCAAACAATAATGATAAAGAGCATTTATAGAACCTGATTTAGCACTAAAAGGACAATCTCACAGGCCTGTTTTGCTAGCAAACCAAACTGTACCTCTTTGAAGATGCCTTGGAAGTCCCAGAATTTCTAGAACATGCAAATGATTCTTGCTTACAAACTTAATAGCCATTTTGGGAGCCATTTTCCTGGTAAAAGTCCGGTAAGACTAGGCTATAAGTCACTAAAGCCCAGTAGCCCCGAAGTAGTTCTTTGCTTGTTTACTTATTTATTTTTGGTTTATAAGAGGCTGTTTGGTTTATAATGTGGCTAAGACTAGATGTAACATGATTTCCATTTTCTGTCAAGTTTTAATTTGCTGAACTGTCTCAATCCCATTTTAAAGCAAAAATATTAGTTGAAAAGTAAGATTCATATGATTAACCCCAAATGGCATGAAGACTACAATCCATCCCTCACTAGAGAAAATGCAGAGTACACTGAGGCATTGTGCTTTTGTTTTTTAGCATGAGTGAAATAAATGCTGGTATTAAAAATCAGGGTGGATTATAAAGCTGAGATGAATCACTTGGTAGAGAGCCTGGTGCACCTGATATTCCAAATAAATGTTTTAAGAAACTGAATAGATTAACAGATCAGAGACAAAAATTTCCAGCTCTAACACTTTTTTTTTGCAAACAAATATTCCCATTCTAACATCAGCATTAAAGATATTCTGTCTAAACTGAATATTCTTGAGTCTTAGACAACTTTTAACTATTAGGAACTTACTACAGGAATGCTGGCTCATCTGCCTGTTAAGTGTAGCTGGGTCTCCTTACACATGACTTCACTTTGCATACCCCTGAATCAGAATGCAAAGGGCACAACTTCAAGGCCTTATACCATGCAGTAAGTACAGGCAAGACCCAGACACATCTCAGACCATCATACATATCATTTTCATAAGAGAAGATTCAGGTACACTGCATAAAGCACGTTACAGCATTGATTAAAAGCAACATATGCAAGGTGAAAGCTGACACGAGAAAGTGAAGGGAAGGTGGCAGTCACAGCCTCTGTGGCTGAAGGGCAGCATTTCTCTTTTATTGTGGTCACTGTATTAAGGGAGGGAGGAGAAAAGACAGAAAATATGGGAAATGCACACCATCTGCTCACTCCAGATGCAACTGCACATGCCTGGAACAGCAAAGCCTTTGACCAGAACTGAACATGTAAGATCTAATCTCCCTGAAACCATCAACATATTTAGACATGTTGCATCACAGATACATGTAATACCAAACTCATGATTAGGAGACCTTTTATAATATCAGTCAAGACTTACCAGTGTGCACACAATACTTAAAAAGAACATTAGCACAGCATCTGAGAAAATGGGATGGGGCTGGATTTCTATGAGCTCCAAGCAGCTCTTCCTTAAATAACGTCGGAATTTAGACATCTCTTTCCTTGAATAGCAATAGCATTTCAGTCAAACCATCCCAGTTTTTCAAAGGCATCAGAAGATGAGCCTTCAGCATTGTACATTTCTAGTACCGAGCGTTCCTTATAGAAAAAGGCCAGAAACAAATATTCTTACCTTGAAATTGTGAACCTTTTCATATTTTGGAATTTGTTCATTTTCTTTCAGAGTTGCTCTTCTAACAAGTGATGTCAACTGTGAATAAGCAAAGAGTTTCAGAGGTTGCCAGATTGTCACAGACGACTTTTGAGAACCCAGTTTCATTCCCAAGGCTGCTATCAATAAATCTTGCTGACGGCCCTCTTGTTTTGGTTTGTGAACTGTAGCTCTATTAGTTTTCCTCCCCGACCAAGACTCTTTGGATGGCATTTTGGAATTCAAAAGGAAGGAAAAAGAAAAAAGAAAAAAAGAAAACCTTGTGGCAGCCTGTGACTGTCGGTGAACTCTACTCAGCTAACACATGAGCATGCTGCAGCCAGCTCAAAATCCTAACCTAGAGAGCCGCGGCCCCGCCACACGCCAGAGCACGGGGAGGTGCGGGAGGGTGATGAAGCACTTCTTCCCAAGGCCGATTAGCACACAAATTCTCTCTTCCTTTTTTAACCGGGCTCTATATTTAAGCTTCTGAAAACTTAAGAGTCTGGAGAGGAAATCAGTCTGTGCTAACATACAAAACATGCAGTATCTCTCTTTGGGAGTCCTTTTAAAAAGCGAGACAATTGAGACAAATGATACATTGCTCAAAGCTTTCTTCTCTGCTCAATACATCAATGTCCATTCTGAATGAGAGATGCCTACATAGAGCCCGCAGTCAGTCGCTAGCAACAGACACCCTGCGAACTCACATGCAGGAGGGGGCGGGGAGGGAGGGATTTGCAGGAGGAAGCACGACTAGACTGGCCACAGTAAGAGAGCAGACAACCAATGAAAACCCAGTAACAGTATTTAAGTACTCTGTTCTCAACTCACTCTGTTTCCCCCCTCCTCTCATGCAAGATTTTTCTTGCTGGCTCAAGGAAGAAGAAAAAAAAATATGTAGGAAGGTAATGAGCAATGCGAGAGTCATACATTAGTGGTAGAGGAAAATTAGCACCCGGTTTTTACTTAAGAGCAAAACCAACTAACCAAAAACCACTACTGCCAGGTAAATTGTGAAGGGACAGTCCATGTCTTTCTCTGTGCATCATGTGAGGTGTGAGCTGTATTATGAGGTGAATCTAGCCTTCTTATTTGTGCATTGTGGTGAGGCTCGTTAACTAAAATCCAGTTTTATTAAAGATGAACAAAAATGGCTACATAGTTTGATGGGAAAAAAAAAAAAGGAATTTAAGCATTGCATTTTCACCCAGAAGAGAAAGCATACATGTAGTATGCTGATACCCTCTAGTGTAGCTCTGTCTACACTCTATCTGGTTATAGATCTACACTTGCTCAGTAATACCAACATGCTAGTTTTCTAGGCTCAGTACTTTTTGTTCAGTTTGAGGCCAGAGGAAGGGAGCTAAGAATAATCCCTCAGTTTCACAGAGCCCAGGTACAGTGTGGCTGTGCTTACCAGACCCTGGTATGTTTGTCTGCAACTACAGAAAAGGGGCTGCTGGCTGAGAGAGACAAACCCAGTTCTACTCCAGAACAATGACCACAGTACCCGAAGGGGCTATGAGAAATTCAGTCTGCTCCCTCTCCCCTTCAAGACACGGTTTCACTATATAGCCCTGGTCATCCTAGAACTCACCAGGCTAGCCTTGAATTCACGGAGATCTGCCTGCCTCTGCCTCCCCAGTGCTGGGATTTAAGGTGTGCACCATCACACCCAGCTTCAGACTTTCCCATTTGGGTTCTCTAACCATCTCCCATCTGCTTCCTTGTGCTGGCTATAATAAATCTTATGAATCTGAAAGTTTGCATTTAAACGAATTGGAGGTTAGAGGCTGTAGCTTAGCAGCGGAAGCATGTTGTTTGGATTGTACAAGGACTTGGGTTTCAGTTTTAGACACAAACCAAACCAGAAATTCAGTCAACTGACCACTATATATACATTATCTCATATTTCATAAAATACAGGAGGTATTCCATTGAAAATTCTAATTTAATTAAGATATGAGACACCCTTAAATTATATCAAGACATTGGAAGTAATGACTGGTATGTGCGCACTTGTGCACCTATAAAGGCCAGAGATAAATGTTGGCAGTCGCTGTTTGTAGGTAAGAGCACCTTATTGTTCTGAGATAGTGTCACTTACTGAATGTGGAGCTCACTGACTGGCCGATGAGCTTAATGAGTGCCAGGGCTCTGTCTGTCTCGGATCCTTTGCCTAGACACATTCTGCCACAGTCTGGTTTTATGTAGGTGCGGGGATCCAAACTCAGGTCCTCATGTTTGCACAAAAAGTACTTCACCTCCTGAGTCATCTCTCCAGCCCCAGGACTTACTTGAAAACATGCCCCATTACCTTTATCTTCTTGAGTCTATATACAGTCCCCTTTACTCTTTATTTATAATTTTTTATTTGAATTAGAAACAAGATTGTTTTACATGTCAATTCCAGTTCCCTCTCCCTCCCCGCCTCCCTGCCCCCCCCCAACTAACACCCTACCTATCCCATACCCTTTCTGCTCCCCAGGGAGGGTGAGGTCTTCTATAGGGCGTCTTCTGAGTCTGTCATATCTTTTGGGATAGGGCCTAGGCCCATCCGGTGTGTCTAGGCTCAGGGAGTATCCCTCTATGTAGAATGGGCTCCAAAAGTTCATTTTTATGTTAGGGATAGTACTGATCTATACCCACGTTCATGGGGTCTGGATCAGTCCCATGCTGGTTTCCCAGCTATCAGTCTGGGGACCAAGAGCTCTCCCTTGTCAGTCAGCTGTTTCTGTGGATTTCACCAGCCTGGTCTGGACCCCTTTGCTCATCAGTCCTCCTTTTCTGCAACTGAATTACAGTTCAGTTCAGTGTTTAGCTGTGGGTGTCTGCTTCTACTTCCACCAGCTGCTGGATGAAGGCTATAGATTGGCATATTTATCATCAATCTCATTATCAGGGGAGGGCATTTAAGGTAGCCTCTCTTCTGTTGCTTAGATTGTTTGTTGGTGTCATCTTTCTAGATCTCCAGACATTTCCCTAGTGCCTGAATTCTCTTTAAACCTATAATGTCTCCCTCTATTATGGTATCTCTTATCTTTCTCTCTTCTATTCTTCCCACAACTCAAGCTTCCTGCTCTCCCCTGACTTCCTCACCCCTCCTCTTCTCTCCTTCTCATTCTCCTAGCTCCCTCACACCTGCCCCCATGCTCCCAATTTTCTCAGATCTTGTCCCTTTCCCCTTCTCTTGGGGGGGGGGACGACCATGCATGTCTCTCTTAGACTCTACTCTTTTTTTAAAATAGCAATGGAAAATTAAGTCAGGGCCTCAGGCATGCTAATTGAGTATCTCCCACCACACTGTATTCCCAGATCCTTTGTATTAAAAGAAATGTAAGTAAATAAGAGACAATGAGAGACATTAACATTTACTCTATACATGGTCCAGTTTCATAAATTTAGTCTCAGATGATTGATAAGAGATTATAAAATGATACTACTGAGAAGAGACACATTGGAAAAAGTTTCCTTGTCTAACCTGAATGGTCCTTCAGCTCAAGTCTAGTTTGTCATGTGATGACTGGAAACATAAGGAGCAACAACTCCTTGGACATGTTCAGCTGAAAGTTATGTTAACCCAGTCCTCAGTAGGCATCAGATAAAAAATAAGATCACAAAGGCAAACATAATGGTATTTGCTTTTTCAACAATGTATAAAGCAAAGTTCCTAAGTTAAAGAAAACAATTGCAGGTGTAACCCAAGTGGTGGGTTTGTTTGTTTGTTTTGTTTTTCTTGAATATTTTGGCCAAGTTTCTATTATGTTCATATCATCCCTTGTGATTCAGCTAAAATAACTAAAATTCAACTATGCACAAAAATACACACAGTAGACTTGCCCAGAAAAATGAATGGCAAGGTAAAGTGAATATTTTGCCTAGAGATAAAGTTTATTTAAAGACTAAGCAGACTGTTTTTCTTAATTTTTCTATTAAGCAAGACATGCTGGGTTAATTACAGCCTGGGCAGTGACTAGACCTTGAAGGAGATAGAAAGCAACACTATAGGATGGTGTGTGTGTGTGTGTGTGTGTGTGTGTGTGTACGTACCAAATAACTATACCAAACACCTGCCAAAGATTAGCCAGTATTATGCCTGTAATCCTGTCATACCACAATTGTGCCACTTCTGCATTAATTTTGGGGGCCAGATTCAAGTAACAGAGTCTGAAAACTCTGAACCACTATAAATGTTCTTGCATTCTAGACAACTGTCTATCATTATGCTTACATGTATCTGTCCACTTCTAGCTTGTTAAGTAATAGTTAGTGCACTGTTAATTATGGCTATAATTTGTCAGTGAGTACTTATGTATCAGGCACTCTTCTGATTATACATACAATCTCATGAATCCACAGTTAAACCCTGTAAGGCATACATATATTATCCTCGTTTTGTATTCCAGAAAACTGACACTCACAGAAGGTAAATCCCCAAAGTTGCATAAACAGCTAGGAGGAAGTAGAGCTGAGATACTGAAGAGTATATGATATATCCACACAGTTGAGAAAATAAGAGGAACTATGGAGTCTGGGGGTGGTTATTTTTCTACTTATGGTGGTTCAACTGCTTATTTACCTTCAATTTCAAAGGACAGTCTAAGAAGATAGGCCTATGATTTCAGCAGTACCATGAATGTTATGGGGGTAACCCAACTGCCTCTAGGGGAATTTAAGGCCCATTCCACAGGAGAAAACATGTGCCTGGCATTGTAAATCTGCCCCAAGGGTAAGCCTTCTACTAATATTCTGTTAAATGGCCACAGTATCAAACTGTTCTCTAAATTCATTTTTCCTCCCTATAGATCAGTGCAGCTCACAGACCTCATCAGAGAGGTTTCTCTGTGCAGTGGACAGTGGTTAATGCAGAAACTCACAACTTGTCAAGGTGCAGAGAGTAAGTTTGGAGCACTGAGCCACAGATGGGACATCCACACCACATTTATGTATGTTATAAACATGAGGTGTTTCTTGTAGAGCCTCCTTACATGCACATCATTACTTTACCATGGATTTGGGTCTCACTGAAAATGTGAACTTTTTACCAAGAAAGTGGC